CCACCACGGGGACCCGTTTCCTGCCCGTTCCAGAAGCCCCAGGTTTCAGATCAAAACTCCCACGTGTTTTTAGCTGGGACAAAAGACTGACCAAGAAAAAAACAAGTATGAAAAACACTTGGTGGGCATGGGGGGAAAAGAGATCTTTTGAGAGAGAGTGAGAGTTCTATAATATCCAGGAAAGATATTTCAAGCTAGAGTCTAACCCTAGGATTTTGATGTGTAATAGAAAATCAAATTGATCTGGATCTGACTTCTAACTCTCACAGTCACTGGCTGTGTGAACTCAGGCAAGTCAATTAACCATTCAAAACCTCTTTTCTCATCAGAAAAATGGTTAAAATAACAAATAAAAGAGCGTATACAAAATGCCCAACACATACATAAATATTAATTTTCCATCCTGTCTGCTAAAATGATAAAAAGTGACTTTAAAAGTCTTAAATAATTCGTAGCCTTTGGGAAAAGTCTATCTATTGGGAAGGGTGTTGAAGAGAAGAGACTCCAACCGACAGCTGCTTGAATAAAACCCAAGCTTCCCAGCATGCTAGTTTTGTGGTTATCCCATCCTTTCAGTTGTCTAAGTGTCCACTGTCTCTGTGTATCAAAGGAGGCCAATATGTGTCTGACAGATGAGTGTGAAGAACTCAGAGAAGTGCCCAGCGCTTACACATTATACAATGCACTGTTGTTATTATGGTTATGCTATTATTGTAAAACACACCTTGCCCTTCAGTGATCATGAAGTGGCATCAATTTCAGGGAGCTATACAAAAACCCAAAGACTAGTCCTGAAGAGTTTCTGCTTTCTCCTTATGCAAAGCCTACATTTAAATTGCTTAACATAGGAATTTAAAAGGCCCAACAGGGCTCCTGGGTCCCCCTATCTCCCCACCACCACCTCCACCTTATCCACTTACCAAAGTTCAATATAATGAAGGGTCAGGACTGGGGAGGGGGGGGTCCAGGGGTCTGAACAAAATAGGTAGAGCCTGAGTCCCCAGAGAGAAAAACAACAACCAGCCCAGCACACAGCAAGCCTGGCAGGAGAGAAGCAGCATTGTCCCTGCCTGGCTCCTGGCATCCAGCCTCAGTGCTTGGCAGAGAGAGATGTCTTTGGTTTTGTATTGCTAATGGGGATTTTGCACCTCTCTCAAGTGCCAGGCAAATGACAGTTGGAATTATCACACTTCCTAGAGAGTGCCAACTAGATTCAATTAGGGCTCTGGCAGGGCGTGCCCTCCTGCAGGTGCTTCTGGCTCACTGACGACAAAGGCCTCCTGTCAGCATGGGACCAGGACAGGCTGCATTTGAAACATCTCCCTCTCTGCAGCTACAAAGCACTTGGAAGACATTTGCTCCCTGTGCAACCTATAGCTGGCTGCGGTTAGAAGGACAGTGTCCAGGGTGCAGGTTAGGGCTCATTCCCTGCAGTCACCCACCCATAGCCTTGTTAATTTTCTGACCCATTTTCACATGAAATGGCTAAAAGCTATTATTCATCAGACCCTGCATTTAGAACAGGCCTGGTACATAATAGATATTCAACACATTTTTGATGAATGCATGAGCTGTGCGAGAAACAGGGATCTTGTCTTCAAGAAATCACAAGCCAGGTATAATGGCACATGCCTGTAATTCCAGCTATTTGGAAACTGAGGTAAGAAAAATATTGAAACTTTAAGACCAGACAGGGCAAGTTAGTGAGCCCTTGTATCAAAATAAAATATTAAAAAAGAAGCCAATAATCTCAACACTCTGGAAGGATATGACAGGAGGATCATAAATTTAAGCCCAACCTGGGTGACTTGGCAGAACTCTATCTCAAATTAAATTAGAAAAAAAATTAAGGAGATGTAGCCCAGTATAAAAGACCTGGCTGGGTTTAGTTCCCAGTGCTACAAAATAATATCAACAGCAACAATAGAATAAATGACTGAGAGTATGGCTTGGTGGCAGAATGCTTCTAGATTTAATCTAGACAAGGGGAAAGACAGACAGACAGACAGACAGACAGAGAGAAAGAGAGAGAGAAAGAGACAGAGACAGACAGAGAGTGACAGGAAGAAACACAGAGAGAGACAGAAAGAGACAGAGAGAGAGACAAAGGGAGAGACAGAGAAAGGGAGACACGAGAGAAACAGAAAGAGAGAGAGGGAGACAGAAAGAGACAGAGAGACAGAGAGAGATAGAGACAGAGGCAAAGGGAGAGGGGAGAGAGAGAGAGAGAGAGAGAGAGAGAGAGAGAGAGAGAGAGAGAGAGAGAGAGAGAGATTACATTAAAGTACATGGAATTTAGACATGGTTCCAGCTGCAGGTATGAAGAGACGAAATTCCTGAGCTCTTTGGGCCTCAATTTCTTTCTCTATAAAGGGGGGTATCCCTCATGATCTACTATAAGGATCAGCTGAACTAATGCATGTAAACCTCTTAACAGTGCCAATGACATAATAAGCTCCAGCTCTAAAGAGCTGGTCAGGACAAGGCTGACGTAGTCATGGAACACTGTGGGAATGAAGGAAAAACTCCTGGCCATTAACCTGTCAGTCATTAAAAAGTAGGATTTACTTTTGCTTCTAAGATAGACGGGGGCTCCTAAAATGTACCAATAATTACCAATTACCAATGTAATTAGTGATTGAAAAAAGATAGACTGAAACTTAGAACCATTTTGTTTTTAGTAAAATTCATGACTCTTGGATCTATCAATATCCAATAAATAACTAAAAACAGAACGAAGCTTGACCTTCATTTTATGAAACTCTGGGTCAAACCCTTACCAGCTCTGCAGATAGGCATGTTAGTCATTTTTGGAGTGTCTAAAAGTTGGCAAAACAAGATTCATTAGCCCTAAATTTGCCTATTCTATGTCATCACCCATCAAGACTGAGGACACTTACACCCAGAAGTCCCCATTCCCCTAAACCTATGGTCACCTTGGATCCCAACAGAGCCTCACACGACTGGGATTACCCTTCAAGACAAGAGAATTCTTGCCGTGGAGACCGCATTGCTCAGTTCATGAGAGGAATTGCTCCACCCCTTTGGAGCTACAAACCCGTGACCAACAGAGTGACTGTCTTCTATAAGCACCCTATAAAACCGATCTCTGCCAGTCTGATCTTCTTCACCAATGTGTTCCTTCCAGGCACTACTCAAGCTGGAGGCCTTTCATTTTTCCTTTACTTTCAAGGTAAAGGTTTCTCCTGTAAAGTGATATTGTCACTTTAGTTTTAGTTTCTGTTATCATGAAGGGCAGGACCCACACAATAGCAAGTGTCAAGGCCATACATATTGGGCTCTCTGTCCTTTTTCTGCCCATGACCGCTCTCTCAGTCCTACCTGCAAGCTAACAGGGGTTGCAGCTACTGTTTACAGCTCTGCACTCCAGAACCACGCTGGCCTCCTCCTGCATGGCAGATCTGAGCCAGATTCTCCGAAGCCTTCCCTACACTCTACTGCCCCATTTCCTACTTGTCACAGCTCTTCATTTCCAGATAAGTCAAGAGGCTTACGATTCAGGAAAAAAAAATACATCTTGTGAAAGAAATACATCTTACAGGGCTCGCCACCTCCTTGCTGTCTGCTTTGGCTGCACATCTGTGCCATGCGGAGGCTGCACTAGCTGACCCCTGGGTCCTGTTAGCTTCAGCAGCTCCAGCTCTGGGCACAGCCCTAGAGCCTGACTGCAGCGCTCCTACCCTCGGGGAGGTGAGGGATGAGAAATGGGAGTGAGGAAGGATATGCTCACATCCCACAGGAGGGCCACCAACAACACCCAGAATCGTGACTGATTCTCTGGGCAGGCTTCTAAAGGGCTGCTTGGGCTGCCTCTGTAAGTCACACAGTCCCTGAAGTCAAAACAGAAGACACAACTCTGCTAAAGGGACCAGGAGACTTGAGAATGGCTCAGTTTCTGGATCAACCCAAATTCTGCCATAAAGAAGCCATGGCCTCTGGGGGAACTGAGTTCCCAAGGGTTCAGGGGACCTCAACTATGTGCCCTTAGCTGGACTCTACTCCCTCTCAGAACATCAATGACTTTTCTTTCATTACTGGAAATTGAACCCAGGGTTTTTCACACTGAACTATATGCACAGCCTGTTTTATTTTGAGACACTCTTACTAAGTCACTAAGTTGGCTAAGCTGGGCTCAAACTTGTGAATCCTCCTGCCTCAATTTCTCAGAGTGCTGGGGTTACAAGTGTCCATCACCACCCCTGGTTGTCAGTGACTACCTGAAACATGCAGAAGCCCTCTGAGCATCTTTCAAACACGGGAGCTGCCTGACCTTGAAGGCACTGCACTGACAGAGGAGGACCTGAACCGCACACAGACCCTCAGCACCCAGCAGGCAGAAGCAGAGCACAAGGCAAAGTCACACACCCTGGGGCTGGAGCTTACCCACGCTCCACCGACTTTGCCAGCTCTCAGGATGGCTGCCACAGAGGAGAAGAAGAGACAAGTGTCAGAGGCAAGGCCTGTGTTCCACGCCCTCCAATCTGTAAGCAGCATTGCCCCCGCAGGGTTGGCTGTGGCAGAGTGTGTACAGTGACAGAAGAGACACCTCTGGACAGCTGACAGGAAACTTAACACCAGCCCAGCTGGTGTAGGGAGGGACTGGGGACATGGGGCCAAGGAAGGAGTCACACGGGCAGAGGGAGGAAACCAGACAGTGGTATGCAAGAGAGAGAAAGGAAGTTTGGGAAGAAATGCAAAACATGCAGAAATGAGGAAAATGGGAACATGGAGGGGAAATGAGTGCCGTCTGTGAGTAACAGTGCTCGGTGACATATCTGCAGTCTCTAAGAAACACTCCTAAGGCCCCGGACCCCAAGAGCGAACCCCTTAGACCCATGTGCCACTGCTTGCCACTTCTGCAGGAGGAAGAGCACCTCATATCACCACGGACACCCTGGGACTCCCCACCAGAGCCCGGGGAAAGCCTGCGACTCGAGCACCCGCAGTCCCCATGACAGCCCAGGTCTGCACCTTCTTACCTGGGGGTCCCTCAGACGTGTGAGGTCAGGGTACAGGTAGAACTGAATTCCTTTGGCTGCCCCAGGCAGTGTCACCCCTCGGATTAATAGGACTATCAGCATGAGATAAGGGAACGTGGCTGTGAAGTACACCACCTGGTCGGGACAGGTATGAGATCCAGAAGAGTAGGTTAGGCAGTATGAGAAAGGAAGGAGGAACCCCGAGGTCATGGTGGATCCCAGTCAGGAAAGCAGGGACTGCCCTTACCAGAGGGCAGGTGAGCAAGGGGACCCTCTCCTACTCCTCTCCTGCAGCTGCTGTGTTCCATCTTCCCCGCCATAGGCCATAACCTCCCTCTCTCCTCTGTACATCTCTGAACACTACCTCTCCCCATACATATCCAGTAAGTATTTTTGAGTGACTGAATGAACTTAAAAATCATTCTCCTAGCAAGTGCCTGGTTACAGCAAGTGTTGTCAGGCATGGAAATGTCTGTAACACATGATCCCTTCCTCACAGAGTTTAGGAGCTTAGCACAACCAGGCAACCAAATTAAGATGAAAGCTTCATCAGAGGCCTGCGGGGCTTGAGTTCAGAAGAGCTCAGATGCCCTCTAACATCTCAGACACGCTAAGGGAAAGAGACCCCAACACTAAAACTGGTGAAGAAACATTCGAAGGCGAAAAGTGTGATTGGAGTTCACTGCCCACAAAACTGTTCTGTGAAGTAGAGAGGCCCCCAACTTACTCAAGCTACAATTTGTTCACATGCATGGTACATTCCAAGATCAAATTCCTCTGCAGGTGTCCTTCCAGCCTTTCTCTGTCTTATTTTATTTCCCAGAATTATGTGGGACTGAATTTAGGAGAGGAACATGATCAAGGGAGGGGCCACCTAAAGTCTCTGCAGGTCATTGCCCTCACGGGGCAAACGCTGAGGAGCTCTTAGAAGCTCTCTTGAACAGACCTTGCCTGTGGACTTGACCCCCTTCCAGATGCAGAAGTAGCAGATGATCCAGGCGAGCAGGAGGCACAGGACCAGCTCCCAGCGCAGGGCCCCCAGGTTCTGAATGCCATCAGAGATCTTCAGGACCCGCCTCCTGGGGAGAGAAGCATCGGACCTGGCTCCATGTTGGCTGCCAGCTTTGGGTCATCCTTCCTTCCTTCCTTCTTTCTTTGCTTGCTTCCTCTGTCTTTCTGTAACACTGGGGTAGAAACCAGGGCCTCCTGGCACATGCTAGACAGGTGCTCTGTCACAGATCTACACCCCACCCCTGAGACAGAATTTTGGAGCCCAGGCGCCTCCAATCTACTCTTGGCTAAGGCTTGTCTAGTCTGTGAGGCTTTCTTTTCCCAGGGATGAACGTTAGACTTAAAAGTTGGCAAACATAAGCCGCCCAGGTGAATTTTCTCTGAGACCTGTCCTAGCATGGGGAAGGAGGTACAAATATCCATTCTCCCAGCCAGATTCCTGGAACATTTTGATATGTGGAAGGGAGGGGACACAAGGAGCAACAGAGCAGAAGACAGGTGGTCGGGAGTGTGGATAAACACACATGTGTGCTCTCTAGTGTGAGGAGAGGGCTGCACTGCCTGAGGAAAATCATCTCTGAAGCCAGCCCTGCACTAACCACATAGGCAGCATACAGAACACTCAAGTGCAGACCAGGACAGAAGGAAACAGAAACTCTCCTTGGGCCCACTAGGAACTCCACCCCACATCCACTTTGGAACACATAACGTTTGGAAGGAAAGAGGGCTCACTCACTCCCAGAACTCGATGACAGGGGAGGTGACATTCTCAAAGGTCACATTCAGGGAGCCATTGGTCCTCTGGAACTCCACACAGTTCTCTACTCACAAGTCCCAGGGAGGAAGAAAGAAAAAGACATCAGGCAACATCCACTTCACCTGGGTTAGGGGGCGGGACAATGGAAGGGCAAGCCTCAAGAAGGAGCTCTGCTGCTGTCTATGCAAGACCTCCTCCCAGTGTGCTGACCTCAGCAGACTGTCTCACCTCCCCACACAAATGCACCATGGCTGTGTTTGCATGCATATTCTCACTAGAGCATGACTAGACAGCACTTGAGAAGATGCCTCCATCACCACTTGGGTGCAGATCACCACTGTCTCATGGCTCCTAAGGAACCTCCTGTTTCTATTTGCTCTTCTCTTGTCTGATCTCCATTCAGCACCCGGGGTGATTTTGTTAAACTTTAAATTACTTCCCATCTCAAACACTCCAGTGGGTCTCCCATCCCACAACTCCTTCAGCCATCTCAAAGCCTTGTCTGAAAACTCCTCTGACACCTCTGACCTCACCTCTCCCTCCCTTTCCTCCGCCCGCACTGGCATCCCGACTCTTCCCTACACTTTGACCCAGCACACTTCAGGACTGTGGTACTTGCCCTTCCTCTACTAGAATGTTCATTTCCTCAATAACCAGGTTAATTACCGAGTTCTTACTCCCCCTCCTTCTTCAATCATTTTTCAAAGTCGTCTCAAAAAGGCCTTCCCTAGATACCCTATTTAAACACCACCCCTAAAACTCCCACACACCACCCTGTTTTGTTTTTCTTCACAGCACTTCTAGTGGAATACATATACTTCTTTCTATCACTACGTATAGTTTCCCTTTTATTTTGTTGTGGTCTGTCTCAGCTGAGCTCAGGAGCGCAGGGAACTTTGTTTTGTCCGTTAGCATATCCCCAGTGCTTGGAACAGAATCTGGCAGCGCAGGATCTCAATAAACACTAGCTGAAGAGCTGAATGCCAGTGGAGGGTTTTCTCCACTAAACCATATCTTTCTTCCAGAAAAGTGTCATTTCATCCTGGCAGGACAAGATGGCTTATACTATTCAAGATACTAGGCTCTGAGCAAAACCAGACCCACTAGGGGGGTATCAAAAATATCCAAAATCAAAAGATTTAGGCATGCAATTTGCCTAAGAATTGTTCAAAGATTCCCAACCAGCCCAAAGGCATATAGGCCTGATCCTGCTCTAACCCAAAGTGTAGGTCCCGGGGCTTTGTCAGTTTGATCAGGTCACTCCACTGGGATCTGGGTAAAATATTTACTACCTGGAAAACTGGTTATCAAGGGTGATGCACATAGATATAAACAAATGAACAAATATATATATACATATATATATATATGAAAAATCTTAGAATAGAACAGATTTTTAAATATTTCTTGAGAGCTTGTGGGGAAGCTCACACTGTGCTAGACATACAGCTACAGAGATGAGCCTTTTCTGCCTCAGGGTCTTGCCAGTTTGTAGGCAAACCAACTCAATAAACAGACAAAAAGTTCAGTGTGTGCCATTTGACGGCTGGGGTCATTCTAGGCACAGCCAGGCAGGGGTGCCACCTAGATTTGACTCTTCAACTGGGCATGGGATGATGAGATGCAGGGTGCCAGGGTGCAAAGTACAGCCTGGGGTGGGAGCAGGAGCCATGGGGAGGGGACTGTCCAAGGACGGGGAGGGAGAGACACAGCCAGGTCACAAGGTACAAAGACTAAACCCTGCAAAAACATTTTCCCTGGCAAGCAAAGGATTCAAAATCGAGTTCAAAACTCAGCTAACTTGTCTAGCTAGTCCTACTTCAAAACAGTAGCTCTTGTGGACAAGCACTGAGAGATATTTGGACAAAGACAGCAAGATGTAGCTATGAGAATCCAAACAGAACAGTGCCCAGCTTGCTTTTCATCCTGCTACCCTATATGGAATCATGAGTTCATGTGGGTATTTAAAGTTAAGAAAAATTTTAAAATTCTGTCCCTCAGATAAACTAGCCACATGTCAGGTTGCTCAGAAGCCACTCTTGGACATACAGAGAAAACGGTCATCTTCATAGATAACTTTGTACAGACCTAACCTAGACATTTTTGTTGTCATTATTTTTAATATATTTAATGGTTCTATTGCTCACACAGTCTTACAAGCAGAGAAGTTAATTACTGCTATAAATTATACTGATGACACACAAAACAGTTAAGCCCAGATAAATTACAAATTTGAAAGACCTAAAATAGTATCAAAAAGAAGATTTAAGAAGCAAATAAATGAACAAATAATAAGTACATATATCAAAGTAGTCTTATTTCCAATTGAAATAAATGGCTAACCTCAACTTTTAAAAAGATGAGTTCTATCTGCATATGAATTGAACACATCGATTTGTTTTTTAAAGAGAATAGGACATTTTGCCTGTGATATTGGTGCATTCTTGGTTTCCTTGTTGTGCTGAAGATCAAACCTACAGCCTCACACACAGGCAAGGCAAGCAGCGTACAGCTCCTGCTCTTACCTGAAGGGGAGTTCTCCATGACCGATTTGGCCAGTTTCCATGAGCTAACCCTAGGGACTAGGTTTTTGGCACAGAGAGACTCCTGATTATGTGGCAGAGCAAGCAGGGGAAGTGGACTCTGATGTGATCTCACCTGTGTTCCACTCGTGGTGGCAGCTTCCCCAGGGCAGGTCAGTGGTGAAGCTGCTGAAGAGGTAGAAGAATGCCCAGGCCAGGACAATGATGTAGTAGATGTTGAGGAGCATGACAATCACCTGGGAGGCACAGCCAATGCCTGAGAGGAAACTGCAGAATTGAGCTGAGGACAGGGGACAGATTCCTCCTACTGCCACTACCGGTCAGGAAAGCGCTCGTGTTCTGCTGTCCTATAGCAAGAAGTGCTCTGGCCCACTGCTCCCAGGCCAGGTGGGGACTTATCTCCTACCCTCTGTTGCCCTTGGTCCCATCAGGTTCTGAAAAGTCATCGGCCCAGAGTTATTTTTTAAATGGGTAAGACTAATTCCATAATACTGATAGTCAGTGGTTCTCAGAATTAGTCTGATGTTTCTAAAACATAAAACCACAAATCAGAGGTAATTTGCATAGAAGGAAGTATAAAGCATGAATGAATACCTTTAAAATATAATATTCATCCTCTTTAATTACAGGTATGTAAAATGATACAGCCATGAGGCACCATTCTGCAGTTACAATTTTAGTGAAAATTTTTATAAAGGATGTAACTCAGAGATTTCCATACTGTCTTATATCAGAATGGCCCAGGGACATTTACAATATTTCAAAACCTAGGCCAATCTCCCGACTACTTCTCATTTTTTATTTTTTATTTATTTATTTTTGAGATAGGGCTTCACTATACAGATCAGGGTGACCTTGAACTCATTTTGTAGCCCAGGCTGGCCTTGAACTCACAGCAATCCTCCTGCCTCTGCATCTCAAGTGGTGGGATTACAGGTGTGCACCACCAGGCCTGACTTAACCCCAGACCATTTAAAGTACCTCTCAAGATGGAGCATGGCCACAGCTTCTGTTGCAGGTCCTTAGGTGATCTCAATGAATAAAACTTGAGAACCACCAAAGAATCCAGAGTTGCTCAAAATATATAGAAACATGATTACTCACATCTAGTGCACTGTCACTGTCAGTGTCATTAATAGAACATAATAAGCCACATCAAGGGATGCCAAGTTGATATTCATTTGCATCCAGTTTTCCTAATCCTGAAACTTCATCTCAAAGAAACAGTTCTAAAAGTAGAGAAGCTAAATAAACAAAGATAAGCAAAATATAAAAAATGCATAAGCAAAAGAAAATTTAAAAAGCTCTGGAGGCCTATTATTAAATGAGCATTAAGTAGAAAGTGGAAAATAAAATTAATTGTAAAAAGAACATAAACTGCGTATATTCCATTATAATAAGGTCTATAAAAAAAGAAAGAAAAATTCAAAAGCCCCCAAAACTGGAACAGCCAAATGCTGTGAATGGTTTAATAAACCATGGTACATCCAGCAAAAATCAACCAGCTGTTATTAATATATATGAAAGAAACTGAACAGAAGTACAAAAAGCCAACCACAAATGGTTACATTCTGCATGAGTCCATTTATACGACATTCTCAAATGACAAAATTACAGATAGACAGCAGAACAGGTTGCCAAAGGTTGGGGTTGGAGCTGTGTGGAGTGTGATGATAAAGGGTAGTGTGGAGGAGACCCGCATAGCGATGGGACAGCAGGCTCCTTGAGGTGGGGCGGTGATTGCCCAAATCCACATCAGAGTCACACAGGGTCCCCAAACACACATGAGTGAGAGTATGGGGAATTGCTGAACTCTGAATAAGGTCTGTGGGAAGTACTACGTCAATATGGAGACTTTGCCATTATACTACAGCTACATAGGATGTCACCAACAGGGAAAACTACATAAAGGACATATAGGACCTCTTTGCACTGTTTTTGTAACTTCCTAGAAATCTGTAGTTATTTAAAAACAGAAATTTGGAGAAAATCCTATACAGAGAGAAACAACAAAACAAAACCCCATAAATTTTAAAGTTATTGTGACAAGATGATGGAACTATTAGTGAAATATTGTTTCTCATTTAGTTATTTTTAAATGTTTTATCAATTGGTAAAATGACTTTAAAAACAAAATCACTGTAATATATTTAAGCTAACTATAGCTAAAATAGCTTTGCACTCTACTTATTTAACCTAAAAGCCTTGCCCACCCTTATTCTTATTCTCCTTCATCCTCTGATTGGCCAGGTGACCAGCTCTGTATTCATCTTATTAACCAAAAGTTATCATAGAGACTTGGGAGTCTTATTTTAACTTCAGAACTGATACTCACCACTCAGCCATCCCAAATATGGTTTATAAACATCAGTGAAGATACTCTGGAATCAGCCGCAAAGTCACTCACCCTCAAAGATGGGACAGATCTTCCTCCAGGCTGTGATGCCCCCCTGGCTTGTGTACTGACCCAGTGCTGTCTCCAGGAAGAAGAGAGGAATGCCACAGGTGAAGAGAAAGATGAGGTAGGGGATGAAAAAGGCACCTGTGGATAGGAAATAAACTATCAACTGCCTGACAATATCTTCTTCACAGTCCACTCCATAGTCTCTCATCACCATCCACAGCGCCAGTGAGTCCCAAGGGTGGGGAGCGTGCAGAGTTGTAGTACCGCCTACCTGGATATCTGGAACCACAACTGGGTCCCAGAGTTACCAAGCTACCTAGGAGCCACACATCCTGTGTCTTCTTTCACTGTGAAGTTTCAGTCTATACCTACTAACATTTTCTCTCCAACAGACATCACTGCTACTTAAATAACATCATATGCATCAAGTCACAAGGAGTTCACTGAATTGTAAATATCCAGGGCCATTAGCACAGCCCACAGCCCATAATACCATTCAAAGAAAGCATTGCTCTTAAAGTCAGAGAAGGATTTTAAGCAAGTTGAAATCAGATTTCCCTTTAGTAGTCTTTATGCTTCTTTTTTCATAGTCACTGGCTGAGACAGACCATGGGTGTCCAAAACGCTGGTGTTTTCTCTACCATGGATCTCCATCTGCTTCCAAAATGGACAGATGAGCTCGCGGAATCCAAAAAAACCCAAAAAATCCCCCCCAAAACGGAAACTTCACAGAGAGGAAAACCAAGACACTGCCCAGGTCTCTCAAACTTTCAGCTGAGCATTGGCCAGCACATATGATGAGAAAAGAAATTGAGGTAAGGGAAAGAACTATTTAAAAAATTCAAGTACTTGTACAGTGTATGTGCCAGGAAGCCAGACTGAATAATCTCAAGATTCCTCCAATATTTGGTAGAATATAATTAGCCCAAGGCTGAACTTGACTCCAGTCCTAGCTGACAAATCTAGGACTAGAATAAGATGCAAAAGGACCAAGAGTACTCATTGATCTCAGAACATAGCTCAAGAAGTTACAGAAATAGGATGCTAGGCAACTTCATGGCCAACCTAGGCAACTTAGCAAGACCCTGTATCAAAATTAAAAACTAAAAAAACACTAGGGATGCTGCTCAGGGCTCTCTATGTTTAATCCCAATATTGACAAATTGATTTGAAGTGTGAGATATTTGTAGAAATAGAAAACTATCTACCTAATAACCATTACAGATTGGAATCCAGAGCTCTGGGTTTGATCTCTAGCAGCACCACCCTCCAAAGAAAAAGGAGAGATTAACAGATTTGCAAGGTACAAGGGCATGTGCCTATAGTCCCAGCTACTCAGGAGACTGAGGAAGAAGACTCTATTGAACTCAGAAGTTGGAGAGCAACCTGGGTAACATAGACACTCCATATCTCTATGGGGAAAATTTATAAATTTTAGACTTGAACCATAGCAAAAACTATCCAAAATAAAATGGAGAAAAAAATGGAATTAAAAAAATCAGAAGCTGAGTGTGGTGGTAAACACCTGTAATCCCAGCACTCAAAAAGCTGAGGCAGGAGATCATTGTGAGTTCGAGACCAGCCTGGGCTACCAAGTGATCTCAAGGCCAGCCTGAACTGCACAGTGAGACCCTGTCTCAAAAAGACAAAAAAAAAATCAAGATTGCAGTTCAGTGGTAGAGTGCTTGCCTAGCAAACACAAGCCCCTGGGTTCAATCCTCAGAACAACAGAGAAAAAAAAAAAAAAACAAGAAAAGAACAGTTGTCAGTCCAGCTCAAGCCTCTCCCACATCTGTGCAGCCCGCTCTTTCCCAATACACTAAACCAATATTTAACTGCAGTGAGTCCCATGGTCAGCTGTGCCTCCTCTTTGCCTCTTGGAGCACAAGGTAGCCTGCCACAGGGCAGAGTCCACACCACACCACACCAGCTGGTCCTGAAGTGTCAGGGGTGGGATGGAGCTCAAAAGTGTAGACCAGGGAGTTCTAATGTCCACCTTTTCCCTTTCCCTTCTCATCACTACATTCAAAAAATTGAGCTATCAAATAACAAACCTGTTCAAAAAAAAAAAAAATTGAGCTAGTCCTGAAGAAATGGAGGGAGCAGTTACCTACATTCCCAATCACCCATGCTAGTCTCTTCAGAATTCTAAAATCCGCTACCTTTCTCCTCACAGAATAGAACATTCGCCTCGCCATCCTTCTCAAAAGAAGCATACCCTGTGATATTGCCAATTATATTCCAGCTACTTTTTAAAAAGTATAAACTGATATTCTCCCTGAGCAACAGAAGAAAGAGAACACAAGAATAGTTAGTAGCCTGACCGATGGCGGGCATTTAGGAATTCACTAAAAATGATAACAAATTGTCATACACTACTACAATAGTTGTTACTAGCTTATGAAGAACAGTGCTGTTCATTCCTCTTTATTCTTTGCTATCTACAAACAGCATTGAGGTTAACAGTTTCTTTTGATTTCATTCGGTCCTGTTTATCTTGGCTTGCCCTTCAGAGATCAGAGCTGAGATGAGCCTCATCCCTGTCTTTCTCCCCACTGTGCCCATTTCTGAATGTCTGGCTGCATGCAGACCATCATGCTGTAGCCTTGTGTGGGGACACCAAGCCCAGGTATTCTTCCAGGGAGGTTCCAACTGGAGGCCCAGGTTTGAAGCACCCAGGATCAGGGTCTTGAAGGACTGAGGATCCAAAGAAGGCCCCTGAGGGGACAGGAAAGAAGGGGTCACCTGTCTTATACAAGGTAACCTCCAGCTGTGTTCTGAGACTAGCAAAAGCCAAAGGTTTCGGCAGAAGTAATCTGTGCCTCTGGTGTTTAGCAACACAGACATGGAAATTAATTGTGAAAACTGTTGGCAGACAACCTGATTTTGTCTGAGCCAAGGGAAATAATTTAAATTTTCATTTTTCCAAGTTGAATCATTTCTCTAAAACCTTCTCCTATCCCTCTGTTCCTATATTATGCCTCCTGGGTGATTCTATCTTCCGACCCCCATGACTGGAGCTTCAGCTGGACAGGCCTTGGCAGGAGGTCATATTTGCTTTTCCCTCCAAGGAGCTAGGGGTGGAGGGTGTGAAAAATAGCTGAAGTTTGCAACTTCTTCAGCAACGTTGCCTGCTCAGAGACCTGTCCCCACATCGCTAGACCTGCTAGCCACACACTCGCTCCTCGGCAGCACTTGGCAGACACCCAACCCAGGCAGAATAACTGGGCTTCACTCACGCCTGAGTTTTACCCCTACCTCAGATGTACGACTTCCCATTCTTCTCTCTCCATCTCAACCATTATTTCAAACTCATTCATCAGTCTTTGCCCCAGAAGTCCACTGCAAACACTCTTAATTAAGGCCACAGTAACCTCCATGGAACTAAATCCAACTGTCAGTCCTCATCCTCATTTTTCTTAACCCATCTGCAGCACTTGACGGGGTTGGTGTCTTCCTTCTCCTTGATATAATTTCTTTACTCGGCTCTCCGAAACACTTGATTCTCTTGGTTTTCATTCTTCGTCACAGATGTTCCCTCTCTGTCTCCTTTGCTGGTTCCTCCTCTTCTCTCAGATCCCAGCTCTCTTTTCTTATGCCATCAAATTTTTGTCTATAAGCCAGATCTTGCTCACAAACTTCAACTCGTATGTTATACTACCTATTTGATTGCTCTATTTAGATATCTAACAGATTCCTCAATTCAGCATTCTCAAAACTCAGCTAATTTTCCTCTCAAACTCTGCTCTTCTCAGAGCCTTCCATATCTCAGTAAATGGCAGCCATTCACTTCCAGTGGCCCATGTTAAAGATCCTGAATTGCTCAGACAGGGTGGTAGCCAAGGTGGTAATGAGAACTGGTCAGATTCACATATCTCACAGGGGGACTGATGTACGCTGGGCGCTAAGGAGCACAGCAGACTTGATCCAGGGAGTCAGAGAGGCCCAGGTCTGGAGTGCAGGACATCTGAGTGTTTGGGTAGAACTAAAAGTTATAAAAAGAAGAGACGAAAAATTGGCTCCAAGACTTTCAGCCTTGCGACTGGTGCATATCAGCTCTTACTTCCTTATTATCAGTTCTCAGTGCAGACTCCAGGCAGATCACTTTAAAGCATAAGGTCATGCTATCCTACTCAAAACTCTGCCCTAACTTTGCACATCACTAGAGTAAAAGCCAGAGTCTTCCAATGGCCAACAAAGTTGTGGGTGCTCTTCAACCCCACACTCCTGGGCTTCTCTGACCATAGTTCTACTCATTCCTCCTGTTTCAGACTCCCTGGCCTTCTGGGCGCTTCTGAAACAAGCCAGCTATCTTCTTGCTTAAGACCTTTAAACTTTGCTTATTCTCCTGGAGCACATACCCAGTATTCACATGCCCATCTCACTGTTGAATGTCTTTGCTCAGATATGCTTAATGATGCCTACCCTAACCTCACCACCACACCCACACCCCTCACCCCTTTCCCGGCTCACTCGGTCCTTTTCCACAGCACTCATTAACTTCTCATCTGCTGTGTTTACTGTGCACTTTCTGTCTCTCTCCTCTATAATGCAAGCCCCACAAGGAAAGGGCACTGGTCTGACATGTTTATAGATGAATCCCTACCACACAAAGCAGTCCCTGGCCTTTGCTGGGTACTCAGTAAATATTTGTTGTTGAATAACAGTGCCAGGGCTCGGTTGGCAATATGCCTACACAAGGGACAAATGGGGAGCTAGAGAACCTTAGGGTGAGGCAAGAACTCGGGGCAAAGAGGCTGTGATCCCAAATGACAAGGATGATGAATACCTAAGAATGACTGAGTGAGCTCCTCCTGCAGGCTCCTTACAAGTCCTACCTACTGCTTCTGACTTTTTTTTGAGACAGAGTTTGCTATGCAATTCAGGCTGGACTTGAACTCACTTTGCAGCCCAGGCTGGTCTCAGATTCACAGAGATTCTCTTGTCTCAGTCTCCTGAGTGCTGGATTACAGGCATGTGCCACTATATCCTGCCTACCCATACTTTTCTCTACCTTGCCTTTTCCTCTCTGGAACTCACTTCAGGTTAGATCTACCAAATGTTAACGCTGAAAGCAACAAAAGAAGACATCACTTATATTAACTTGAAACTAAAGGTACATTTTGGAGGCTTTTTCATTTCTGACTTTCTCACTGAATAAATACTAAATTCTTACTTTATCATCCCCTCGCCCAGCACAAAAGTGGCTCTGTGATGCTATGGACTTAGAAAGATTCTAGAAGCGGCTGGTAGGGCACATTACCTAAGCATGATATTCCCCTGGAGTGTCCTAGCATCCTTCACCTGGACTTGCACAGAACATTCCTGTCTTCCCCATGAGCCCAAGCCCCAATCTGAGAGCTGTAGGTTTAAATAAAATCACTAAACCAAGAGGAAAGGGGTCAACTCATCCTAAATGGTTTCCATTCTCTGCAACTTCTTTCCCCAAATCAGCAGCAAAGTGTCTTTTGTAAAGCAGCATCAGTCTCTGACAAAAAGAAAATGGCAAGGTGAAATTTTTCTGGTACATCTGTTTTCTGTAGAAGCTTGTTTCCTTTGGCAGGCAGAAGAATTAACTGATGACAATGGGTAAACCCCTGGAAACAAAAACAAAACAAAAAAACCCTAGGCAGGTCTAGGTTCTGCTAACGACCAAACACATCCTTTGTCAGTTCCTGGCAAAGGATCGTTTTCATGAATTCACCCAGTGATCCCTGGATGACTCATGCCCTTCAAAGCAAACCTGGGTATCCGCCTCTAGCTCCAAAGTCCTGAAGAGCATGCCCCTTCAGCTGCTGTCATCCATCAGCAAACAGAGAAAAGTCTTGCTAAAGCCTCATGCTAGATCAAGGGACAAAACTGTGCATACAGGTTAAAGAAAGAACTTGGCTGGCCACCTATGGTCGTACATGCCATAAACTCAGCACCTTGTGGGGCTGAGGCAGGAGGATTCCAAGTTCAACTCTAACCTAGGCAATTTAGTCACTTAGCAAGAAAGAGCTGGGGATGTACTTTAGTGTAAAGGCTCTGAGTTCAATCCCTAGTAACACACACAAAGACACACACACACACACACACACACACACACACACACACACATACAAACTTGACCCTAAAAATATCTCAGTTATCAGTTTTGGAAAGTATTTAGGGGAACAAAGCCTCAGCATCCATCCTATTGTCTCCACTTCCCCACATTCACATGAAAAACCAAAGTACTGTTTTCTTTATGCACTTGTGTTGCCCTGCAAAACAGTGAGCAGAGTCCCAGCCTGCATAGGCTGACTGTGAAGCCCAGCAAAGCACAGACCCAGGGTAGCCAGACAAACGAGGTAGATGAGCCCCATGCCCCCAGCTGCTGTCACTGCTCCCCTTTACTACACCTTCTTCAGCCTGGTGGCTTTGAATTAAACCTGGAAATCACTGTCTTTCACCTTTTCGTGTCATCCCTGCTAATTCTCAGGCCAATGCTTACCCAATTCCAGAGAGGCTTGGGGAAAGCTGCTCACCTCCTAATCTTTGCCCATGTGAGGTGCTAAGCTGGTTACTAGGTCCCAGAAACAGAGTTCAATGCCCATCTTAGTCCCTGACTCCTGTTTATACCTTAGGTCAGCCTCATCCCTCCTCCTAAGTCTCCCAAGGGAAAGTGCTGAAGCTCAAATTCTTTAGCAAGCCTGAGGGGCATCCAGGACTAGATAGGAAATGGGAAACCTTCCACTCTTCCCTCTACAGACTGAGCAAAGTCTTGTGATTTCAGGCCACTGACCAAAACTTCCTGGGGAGAAAGGACACATTAGTTGATTACTACCCCTTTGGAAAAACACAAATTAACTTCCAACCCCAGGGTCAATCCCCAGTTGCCACAAATTTAGGAATGAGCCTCCATGGCCCAGAGAAACTCTCTTGTGTTCCCCTCAGTCCTCTTACCTCTACTCTGGTATGTGTGCTTTCTTTGCAGATTCAGTGGCAGACTTGAGCTTGATAGGTTTGAAGGTCCCTATTCCCTTGCAGAAGGTAGGTGCTGTTTGTGTACCTCCTCAACCTTTGTGACCTATGAAATGACCGCTCCTCTCAGCATGTTCCCCAGTGACCTACTTCTGCATTCTGCATTCCTCCAGCCCAGGCTGCAAGCTCATTACAAATGAGAATGCCTTACCTACTAGCTAGAGATCTTCCTAACCCTTTGGTCAACCAAAACTCTTCAGTACTTAGGAAATTCTCCTGGGACTTCCCTCCTAGAATTGGGATTCCCTGGCAATGGGTGAGCAGTAGTAGAATTACCAACACTGCTGTGGGAATGACAGAGTCACCATAGCGGGCTGGAATGAAGGAGGATGGGAAGCCAATAATGACATAGTTAAAGAGCTAGAGTTAATACATACAAATTTCCCATTTGTAGTTGGAAATTTGTAAAACAAGAGCCACTAGGGTCAATGGTTATGATAGTGATGGAAGTTGGCTTTGAGAATGTCATGGCGCTAGTTGAGGAAGAGGGAGACACAAAGTCACAAAGCGAAGGCTGAGGAAATTCAAGACCACAGAAGAGTTTGGTGTCAATATTATCATCAGCATAGCTATTGTTTATTAAGCACTTTTATATACATTACCTCTAAACTTACAACCACCTGAAAGATAGATACTACTATCTTGATTTACAGGAGTAGCCACCAAGGCTCTGAGAGCTTAAGTAACTTACCCCAGATCACATAGAAAGCAGCAAAGCCATAATTCAAACTCAGACCCATCTGGTTCCAAGCCTGCACTTTCATTTCTATGTGGCTACACTATACTAGACAGACCCTTAGGACATCTACATAGCTTTCTATACCCCAGTCTCCTGCAGTATCCTTAATGGCCTTCAGGATGCTTCTGACTCCAGCATCTATGGGCTCCCCAGAGGAGCAATAAGTGCTGGAGATGGAAGCACCCTCTTCCAGGATGGCTGGAATGGTGCAGTGGCTCTCACCTCCCCCATTCTTGTAGCAGAGATAGGGAAACCTCCAGACGTTGCCTAAGCCAACGATCTCCCCGACCACTGACAGCACAAACTCCATCTTGTTGTTCCAGTGTCCCCGCTCCAGAGTGCCATCTTCCTTTGCCTTTTCCATGACTGGAAACACTGGTTTTGTTTCTCCATTACTGGTTGTGCCTGAGACCCCGCTATCCATCCCACCTGGAAAACAAGTGGGATGCACTGTTACTATTTGGAATCCCAAAAGGAAGTCTCCTCCCTTCATTAGCAAATTTCCAAGGGAATAAATGTATTGTCTGCAGAAGGATGTCCTTTTTAGCATCTCTCATCGTACAGCCAGGCAGCATCTCCTGGGACTATCATTCCTGTTCTCTCACAGGAACAAAGCACTGACTGAAGGAATAGATTTGCTTCTTCACCCAGGTTCTCTCAGGATGGGACTTGGGGACTCAGAAATATTCATGTAGACCTGGTTGTTGAGTTCCAGCCAGCCTGACTATATTGGCCTATGCTGTGGTTTCTTTACCTTGTATTTTGAGGACAATTGAAAGGATGAGATTGTATATATTATCAAAGTCACTTATTTCTTTTCCAGAAGAAATAAGTAACTGTGACTGTAAGCAAGGATTTGGCATTCCAGATGTGCATTGTTTATAAGAATAAAAAACTACAAAGTACATAAATGTTAAAAAATGGTAGAGAATTAACAAATTATGGTAAATATATACAATGAAGTACTATATAATCATTTAAAAACGGGAAGTAATTGAAACAAACTCTGTTCACAGTATATGAAGTGGAAACAGTATGTACAGAATGATATGCTTAGCAAATATTTTATAAAGTATTTATCTGTATTGAAAGATCAGGCTTTCTACCAAAATATTTCTCTCCTTGAAGTTAGGTTATAGGAATATTTTCTTAATCTATGTTTTCTATATTTTTATCAAAGAACATGTTTTATTTTTGTAATATGAAAATAAAAATCAGGGTTTTTTTTTTTTCAATCCTTCCAAAAGAATGTGGGAGATTATGTAGTAGAGTGTAACCAGTGACTCTGAGCAACATAACCTGAGCTGTCTTGGAATCTATGCCTCCATTTCTTTCTGAAATCAAAATATAAAGATGAACTACAAACCCTCTGTGTTTCGGTCTCTGTCTCTGTCTCTCTCTTTCTCTGTGATGACAAGTGTAAACCATAGTTCTAAACTTTTCACTGCCAGAAATGCCAGAAATCTATTCTAGACTGCTTTGGGATAGAAGATAAGACTGGGTGTAGCTCACATTTAGTGGGCAACTACTATAGAGAGGCATGTTATATACGGTCCTTTCACTTGATTCTGAAAATGACCCTGAAATGTATTATTACCTCTACTGTGTAAATACAATACAGCTCAGAGTCTGGATGACTGTTGCCATGTAACTGGTGAATTGTACAGCACAGACCTGAATCTGCTCTGTTCCTCCTACCATTATATCCCTTCCATTATATTAGCTGCCGCAGTTTATCTGAACAGCTAAGTTAAGCACTGCTGGTGAGTCCCCAGTGATTTCTTTTTTACAGAAACAGACAGGGCAACTTTTTTCTAAACCTTAAAAAAAAAAGTTTGCATTAACTGAACTTTCTCAGCAGGTACCCTTTGGGCCACAGACAATTTGGCTGTGCCTCTCCAATTAGGTCCCTGACAGGTCCAGAAAGTCACTGATGGCACCTCTGCTCATTTGATAAATTAAGGGATGGGTTCCCAAGATTACTTGTGGGCCAAGAAGGAGGAACCACCGAGGTTTCCTCAGCTCCTTCAGGAAGGCTGATGAAGGAGGGTCTTTTGCTTTTCTGCATCTTCCTTTAACCAGCGGTGTGACGGATGTCTCCTGATGGTGGGAAGAGCCTCAGAGAAGCAGCAGGCCTTTCCCGCAGCCTCACTGTAACTTCTTCGGAGCAGCAGGTTGCAGCTGAAAGGACACTAGCTATAGCCAGACGAGCCTGGGTTCAAACCTTCGTTTTTGCCCCCTATCACTGCCTAACTTCAGAGAAGTTAATGAATAACTTGCTTTAGTTTGTTTCTGTAAAAGTGGGAATGATAGGATATACTTAGCTGAATTGAACATGTCAGAATTGATCATTACCTAATTTTACAGAGAAGGCTTTGTTTACTTAAAATTAAACCCAGTATCTTTCTTCTCAATGTGAGGTTCTCTTTCTCCAAAGCACAATGTCCCTTAAGTCATGAGGCACCCAAGATTCCAAAAATCAAGCAAATAGCATATGGTCTTTGCATATGAACATCATAAGTGTCAGAAACATTGTCTAGGAGAAAATCAAAATTTTGTTTTTAAGTCTTGTGGATCCAACCAACCTGCAATCTGAGACCCAGAAACAGAAAAAGGAAAAAAAAAAAAAATAAGAGAGAAGAAAACATTTCGAACCTTAGTGGAGTTGCTGTCAGAGGTCCAGTCGTGAGGAGCAGAATTATCGAGGGGAGAGGAAAGTGCTGGCTATTTAAAGCATGGCTGGAGAATGCCTCTGCCCTGCAGGACTTGTAATCCTAAACTTGGCCCAACCCACATTCCGCCCTCGGACCTCCCCTTCCAGTACTATCCCTTTCCTGGGCCACGGAACAATTCACCCAAGTGATTTTACAGCAGGGGACTGTGTACACACCCTGCCAGTTCAGGCCAGTTGCTTGTCAGCCTCCTGGACAGCATGCTGCTCCCTGTGGCCATGTGCCCTTTCCCTTTGGCGACCCCAGGATCTCCTGCTGTTCTCTCCTTGCCCCAACTCAAATGCTCCTACGAACCTAGCAAGGACAAGTCGCTGTGCAAGGTGTAATGCAATTAATTTAAAATTAAAAATTAATTTTAAAAATATATATTTAATTTACCTTTCTGCAGTTTACAATCTGGAATGAACAATGATTTAGAAAAAAATGACACATAGATGAGCAAACTCTGAGAAATCAGTTCTACACACTCATGAACACACACATTGTATGTATAGAAGTCTGGAAAATAGACACTGAAAAGTTGATAACCATTGTACTCAGTAGGACTGGGATCAGGAAATGACAGTAGATTTTTACTTCTATTTGTTTAAATTTCAGTATTGTTTGACTTTTTAAATAATATGCTAGAATAAGAATCTTTAAAATAAATACCGAAAAGGAAGTACAAAGGATTAAAACAAAGCAAAGTCCTGACCCTGTTATAAGGGAAGAGCTGATGGCAAGCGAGGCAGACAGAGCTCGTGGATCCAGGAGGTTCATCTTCAGGCAGGAACAGTCCAACGAGAGCACAGATGTCCCTGCATGGAGCTGCAGGACCAGAGGCAGGTGCTCTGCTCAGCCATCTGCAGGAGCACAGCACAGTGCAGGAGGGGCTGCTTACGTTTGGTGCCAGCCAAGTGCAGGTCTGAGTTCTGCTTCTGTCACTTTTTAGCCTGGAGTCTAGAACAAGGTATTCAATTTCTGTCAAGTCTTTTCTCTATAAAGAGTGTCTTTTCTATAAAGTGGGGAGAATGTGCCTTACAAGTTTGTATATAAAGAGTCTAATACCAACAAGTCCCCAAACAGTAGCCATTATTTATCCTCAGGAATTATTCATTGCGAGCAGGGAACTCTTCTCGACGTGGGTGGGACTGACAGATTCCTGAGCAAAGCTGGGTTCCTGCCAGACTGTGAGCCTGACTGAGGGTGGGGATGCCATGGACCACTGAAGTAGGTCAGAGAAATGGGTCGGATGCGACAGAGGAGGGGAAAGGAAGGCCGATCGGGGATCCCAATGTAGTTTTGATTTCTTTAGTTTCTTATTCACCTCTAGGATATGGGACAGGCAGGAAGTCTCTCATGATAATTTTCATGTAGCTTCATGGAGATTATTACGCTTATGCTTCAGCTCCCCTTTTTCTCTCCCTTTCTAACAATCCATCTGTCTAGTTTCATTGTGTATGCAACAGCAAACAGAACACCAGAATATGCCCAGGATTTGGAGACATTTATTTACATTGAGGGCACTGACCAGAATCATTCCCATACTATCAGGCCCCAATCTCAAGTGGCCTAGAGCTTTTATACGATGCACAAGCAGAAGGTACAAAGGAGGTACAAATGTGAGACAGCACAGCCTGGCAGACTTTTGATTGGCTAGCAGGGTGAGATCATAGGTTACCAGGTAGATGAATGTTCATCAGTTCATGAAGGTTGGTACAATGGTACCATCAAGCATCCTGCTCTCGTGGTTACAGGGATCAAGAAGCAGTTACAGAGCTAGGCAGTTTCAAAAGAACAAAGTTTTAAAAAGAACAATTTCACTTGTATGGTTTTTCTCTTTCATGTAAAGGAAAAGACCAGAAAGCCCTTTGAAAGACTGCAAACTCATGAGAAAAAAAAAGTCCCTTTTGAGGTTACACTGTAAGTTCCATTTCTATTTATTGGGTGGTCCATACTAATGGTCCCAGCCAACAGAAACACAGAACGTTATAAAACTTTGGCCTTTATAATCTAAAATTGCCAATTAGTTTATTTAGGACTCAAATTCATAAATCTAAGGGGTCAAGATATAATATAGCCTTAGGCAAAGTTACACAGACTTACACATGCAAACAGCTGGGATTGCAGGAAAGAAATCCAGTGATCAGAACATCATCAGAGTTACCCTGAGTGGGTTATCAGTGACTGCTCTTGCCCGAAGGAATGCTGATCCCTTTTTTGCAGTATGGGTGATTGAGCCCAGGTCACCATGTATGATATGCAAGCATCCTACCACTGAGCAACACCCCTAATCTGTTTAAAATTTTGAGACAAGGTGTCACTAAATTTCTCAAACTACTTCAAACTTAGGATCTGGCCTCAGCCTTCTGAGTAACAGATTACAGCAATCCTTTTTACTTCTTTTATTTTGAAACTGGATCTAAGTTACTAAATTGCCCAACCTAGGTTCAAACTTGCGATCATCCTACCTCCGCCTCCTATTGGACTGGTATTTGTGCTTACATGCCCCCCTAAAGACTCATTTGGTCATAGGTGGGGCTTTTTCAGAGGTGGCTGGATCTAGAGTGTGTGACACTGGGATTGATTCATGGTGTAATGCTAGGCTCAAGGGCACTAGGACTAAGGGTATGAATGCTACCCACCCTGAGTAGCCTGGATAAGACAAAAGGAACAGAAAAATGCTGTTAAGGCCCCTTGCTTGTTTTTCTACCTTCTGCCTGCCTTGAACTATTTCTATTCTGCACTGCCTCTCTGCCCAGCCAACCTGCCCTGGCCCAGATGATTATGGACTGAAACCTCTACAAATTGTGAGCTAAATAATCCTTTCCTCTTTAACTTTAGGTGTTGGGTATTTTGTCTCAGCAATGAAAAAAGAAAAAAATACATCGGAGATTACAGGTATATATCATGAGGCCTGGTTTTTTGTTTTAACATAACTGCTACCACAATAACATTTGTTGTTGTTGTTCTTGTTTTGCAACGGGCTCTTTCTATGCAGTTCAGGCTGATCTCAAACTTGCAGCAGTCCTCCTGCCCCAAGTGCTAGGATTTCAGGCGTGTGCCACCATAACTGGCTCACATTAACACTTTGCTTGCTATCTTATTACCTTTCAAATTTTTGCTAATTTCAATTATTTTTCCTCTATAAGATGGAAATGGGTATGACAGACATTTTACTTTGCTTATGTTTGGTGAAGGTTTCAAAAATACGTTTGAAGGCTGGTATGTAGCTCAGTGGAATAGCACCTGCCTGGCAAGCATGAGGTCATGAGTTTGATCCCTCATACCAAAACAAACAAGCAAACAAACAAAAACAAGTTGAGAACAGCTGGTAGATGTTGGTGACAGTCCTTCACAACAGCCTGACTGAGGCTCAGCACAAATCAGACAGGATCATCCTTACATCTATTCATGCTTTGGTCATTCTTTCGTCTTCTAGGTACAAGTCAAGTAGTCTGAAAACGTGAAGTATTTAAGAGCTGTTACTAAAACAACCACACACATGTGAAGACTCAACAGAGGTTGTCACTGAGGATAACTGCAGGCTGTGCCTCCCAAAACAGGACTGCATGAAACAAAGTGAGCCACGGAAAGGCAGTCCTGTAAGATCCTGGGTTGGATCAAGTTGGTCTGGGCATACTTAATGCCAAAATGTCATGATATGCTCTCTCAAATTTTTTTTTATCCCCATTAGGAGTGAAACAAGAACAAATAAATTTTGGTACTGGGAATCGAACTCACAATCTTGTGTTTGCTAACCAGGTGCTGTGTCACTGAGCTATATCCCTGGCAAGAAGAAATAAATTTTAAAAGAAGTACGATTGTTTAAGAGAAGTATGATTCTGTTGCTCAGAAGAATATTTCTGAACAACAATTTCAGTACTAGAATGGTGATGAGAAGCTAGTTGGCTTTCTCCCTAGAGACTTTGGAATTAAGAAGTACATTTCTGTTCAACTACAAGAATGAGGAACCTGATGATTTTTCAAACACCTTTTTAAAATCCCACTGAGAGAAAAGATAGGAGCAAGTGGAATAATTTAAACAACAAATTAGGACTTGCTGGAACTGAAGCAATTTGAACACAAAATGAATAACACTAAATTGTACCATGACCCAAAGAATAAAATTCACTCATCAGTTCATTTAGCATAAACTACAAATTAAATAAATAATGGGGGAGAAAAGACAATTCTTGCTTACAGTATAGCTCCAGTTAATAAATGTAAAAGAAAATAAATATAAAATCACTACTAGATATTAGTGCTATTATAATTTTTTCCCTGTTTAGGTTGGCCAAGTTACAAAGAAGAGAAGGAGAAGAAGGAGAAAGCAGCAACAGCTCAAGAACCACTGGTAGATAGGAGTTGGTGATCATCCCTCTCAACTGCTTTCTGGGGGTTCAGCATCCCCCCATTAGACTAGATCCATCAATGATTGCTGAAATTA